ATGTCATCTCAAGGCACTTTACAGTTCAACCAGATCATACAGTCAAATTGATACAAAGTTTTCTATCTAAGGAAAACCAGTTGATTGCATTGACTCATTGACTCAAATACAATCCCCCACACTAAGCATGCTTGTAGCGACAGTGGAGAGGAAAAACTCCCTTTTAACAGGAAGAAACCTCCAGCAGAACCAGGCTCAGTGTGAGCGGCCATCTGCCGAGGCCGACTGGGGTTCAAGGAGACAGAAGCAGAGATACAAAAAGCAGCTGTAAAAGGCGGCCCCGTCTAGGAAACACACAGCCAGGCAGACGAGCTCCAAGGCAGCTCCCATGCCAGAGGACGAAGAGAGCACATCCACTCAGTCACGGTCAGAGAAACAGGACCACACTGGAAAACAGGCCGATCTCCAACATCTATAAACAAGGGTGTTGATAGAAGCAGCACAGCTGATGTTTCTTTCCAGGATGATGTCACAGCCAAACAGGAACAGACGAGGCAAAGCTACTCTGAGGAAAAGCAGAGAGAGCAGAACGTTAGAGATTGAACTAAGATTCTGCAGAATAGGAGAATAGAGATTGAATGAAGCAGAATGATGAAATGGGGGTCCCTATGTCCTCCAAAAGTCTAAGCCTATAGCAGCATAACTATAGAGATAGCTCAGGATAACCTGAGCCACCCTAACTATAAGCTTTATCAAAAAGGAAAGTTTTAAGCCTAGTCTTAAAAGTAGACAGGGTGTCTGCCTCACGGACTAAAACTGGTAGTTGGTTCCACAGGAGAGGAGCCTGATAACTAAAAGATCTGCCTCCCATTCTACTTTTAGAAATTCTAGGAACCACTAGTAAACCTGCAGATTGAGAGCGAAGTGCTCTGTTAGGAACATAAGGAACAATCAGATCTCTGATATAAGATGGAGCTTGGCCATTTAAGGCTTTATATGTGAGAAGGAGGATTTTAAATTCTATTCTGGATTTAACAGGAAGCCAATGAAGAGAAGCCAGGATAGGCGAGATATGATCTCTCTTTTTAATTTTCATTAGAACTCTGGCTGCAGCATTTTGGATCAGCTGAAGGCTTTTAACTACAGTTTGTGGACTTCCTGATAGTAAAGAATTACAATAGTCCAGCCTTGAAGTAACAAATGCATGGACTAGTTTCTCAGCATCACCCCTGGACAGGAGATTTCTAATTTTTGCAATGTTCCTCAGATGAAAGAAGGAAATTCTAGAAACCTCTTTGATATGGGATTTAAATGACAGGTCCTGATCAAAAATAACACCAAGATTTTTTACTTTATTATCTGAAATCAGTTTAATCCCATCCAAATGAAGCGACTGGCCAATCAGTTTCTTTTTCAGAGACTCTGGTCCAAAGACTATAACTTCTGTTTTGTCTGCATTCAGAAGCAGAAAGTTAAGAGTCATCCAGGTTTTTATGTCTTCAAGACATGCCTGTAATCTATGTAATGGGTTAGCTTCATCTGGATTTATAGACAGATAAAGCTGGGTATCATCAGCATAACAGTGGAAATTAATCCCATGCTGTCTAATAATTCTACCAATTGGGAGCATGTATAAAGTAAAGAGAATTGGTCCTAGCACTGATCCCTGTGGTACTCCACAGGTAACCTTTGAGCGTGTTGAAGATCTATCATTAACATGAACAAACTGAATTCGATCAGATAGATAAGATTTAAACCAGTCTAGTGCTGTTCCTTTAATTCCAACAAAATATTCAAGTCTTTCTAAAAGAATATTATGGTCAACTGTATCAAATGCAGCACTAAGATCCAACAGGACGAGCACAGATACAAGTCCATTATCTGAGGCCATGAGAATATCATTAGTGACTTTCACCAGAGCTGTTTCAGTGCTATGATGAGCTCTAAAGCCAGACTGAAACTCTTCAAAAAGTTCATTATGGTGGAAGTGATCGCAAACTTGTTTGGCAACTACTTTCTCAAGAATTTTGGATAAGAAAGGAAGATTGGATATAGGTCTATAATTGACCAAGTCATCTGGGTCAAGAGACGGTTTCTTAAGCAGAGGTTTAATTACAGCAACCTTAAAAGCTTTAGGTACATATCCCTGTAACAGAGATAGATTAATCACATCTAAAATGGAGGAGGAGATCAAAGGGAATACCTCCTTAAATAACCTGGTTGGAACTGGATCTAACATACAAGTTGAAGGCTTAGATGAAAACAATAATTTTGCTAATTCAGAGAGTTCAACTGGATCAAAGCAGTCTAAACCCGGTTCAGATTCCATGACTACCTCAGGTACAATCGCGGATAGAGGAGTGCTTATGATCTTATTTTTAATAAGATCAATCTTATTTATAAAGAATCCCATAAAATCATTGCTGCTAAGAGCAGGTGGAATGGACGGTTCAACAGAGCTATGGCTTTGCAGAAAAAAAAGAGATTTTGCAATAAGTTTGTTCGGTTTCCTGATGAATGGCGTGTATTTGTCTGTTTTGAGGCATGATTGCTGCCCCAGACTTGTCCCTCTCACAGTTTAAAGGTAAAAAAAAAAAAGAAAAAAAAAAAAAAAAAAAAAAAAAAAAAAAAAAAATATATATATATATATATATATATATATATATATATATATATGTACACCGTATATACACTCACCGGCCACTTTATTACTTACCCCATGCTAGTAACGCGTTGGACCCACTTTTGCCTTCAGAACTGCCTCAATTCTTGGTGGCATAGATTCAACAAGGTGCTGGAAGCATTCCTCAGGGAGTTTGGTCCATATTGACATGATGGCATCACACAGTTGCCGCAGATTTGTCGGCTGCACATCCATGATGCAAATCTCCCGTTCCACCACATCCCAAAGATGCTCTATTGGATTGAGATGTGGTGACTGTGGAGGCCATTTGAGTACAGTGAACTCATTGTCATGTTCAAGAAACCAGTCTGAGATGATTCCAGCTTTATGACATGGCGCATTATCCTGCTGAAAGTAGCCATCAGAAGTTGGGTACATTGTGGTCATAAAGGGATGGACATGGTCAGCAACAATACTCAGGTAGGCTGTGGCGTTGCAACGATGCTCAATTAGTACCAAGGGGCCCAAAGAGAGCCAAGAAAATATTCCCCACACCATGACACCACCACCACCAGCCTGAACCGTTGATACAAGGCAGGATGGATCCATGCTTTCATGTTGTAGACGCCAAATTCTGACCCTACCATCCGAATGTCGCAGCAGAAATCAAGACTCATCAGACCAGGCAACGTTTTTCCAATCTTCTATTGTCCAATTTCGATGAGCTTGTGCAAATGTAGCCTCAGTTTCCTGTTCTTAGCTGAAAGGAGTGGCACCCGGTGTGGTCTTCTGCTGCTGTAGCCCATCTGCCTCAAAGTTCGACGTACTGTGCGTTCAGAGATGCTCTTCTGCCCACCTTGGTTGTAACGGGTGGTTATTTGAGTCACTGTTGCCCTTCTATCAGCTAGAACCAGTCTGGCCATTCTCCTCTGACCTCTGGCATCAACAAGGCATTTCCGCCCACAGAACTGCCGCTCACTGGATGTTTTTTCTTTTTCGGACAATTCTCTGTAAACCCTAGAGATGGTTGTGCGTGAAAATCCCAGTAGATCAGCAGTTTCTGAAATACTCAGACCAGCCCTAATGGCACCAACAATCATGCCACGTTCAAAGTCACTCAAATCACCTTTCTTCCTCATACTGATGCTCGGTTTGAACTGCAGGAGATTGTCTTGACCATGTCTACATGCCTAAATGCACTGAGTTGCAGCCATGTGATTGGCTGCTTAGAAATTAAGTGTTAACGAGCAGTTGGACAGGTGTACCTAATAAAGTGGCCGGTGAGTGTATATATATATATATATATATATATATATATATATATATATATATATATATATATATATATATATATATACATATACATATATAGATATATATATATATACCGGGTATATCGTATTTTCACGACTATAAGGAGCATATAAACGCCTTTTTTTTACCTCAAAATGTGCGGCGCGCCCTATGTGTGTTGTTACTGCGGACGTGTATGAGACCACCATGAAAACGTTAAAGGGGCATTGTGGGCGTGGATTGTGTATAATAGAACAGGTATGTGCTTTATGCAGAACGGAGACCAGGTGGTTTTTTTCCACACATCACCATCGCTGTTAATCTGTTACTCCATGCGGGCCCATCTCACAGCCGATGTGAAAAACATGGTGAAACAAATGAACGCTGTGCTTGCTGTTATTCCGGGAGGTCTGACAAAGGAACTTCAGCCGCTCGACATCGGTGTGAAGCGGCCGTTCAAAGTAATGCTACGTTCACGCGTCTGCTGCTTCATTTTTGTTGCTTGTACCAGTTATGCTACGTTCACACCGGACGCAGCTGGGGCAGCAAAATCGCGTCTGCTGCTGGGTGGAGCTACTCTATTCTTTCTTTTCTTTGCCTTGCAGCTATATTTGCTGTGATCAGTGGGAATAAAGTAGTTTTAATATGTTTTTAAGTGAGAAAGTCCACCTGAAAACTTAATCATTGCAGTCAGTTCAGCCAGATTACCATCCTGCCTTCTAATACCAATCAGCTGGCTGCAGGCAGCCTGCTAATAGTTTTCACACTTTATTGTGAAGTATCTCAAGATGCAAAAACACACACAAATACATCTAAATATATATACATATATATGTATATGTGTTTGCATCCTGAGATATTTCACGTAAATAAAGTATCACCGGAGGGGAAGTGAACGTCTTAAAACCTTGGAAACCAAGTCCAGTGGATTGTTGACCTGGATGACTGAAATCTTCATCAGCATATAAACAACTGTCATCCATTTTTATTAAAATAATTGAATAGATAACTTAGTAAATATAGAATTTCATCACTGACATTAGGATTTATGGCTTTGCAGAAAAAAAAAAAGTAACAGCTCATGGTGGCAGCAGCTCAGAGGAAGCTAGGATGTACGTGACCGACCTGAAGGCAGCACCAGCCCCTGCTCGGGAGCAGAGGGCCAGACCGCAGAGCTCTTCCGGAGGCGGATAATCCCCTCATCTCCTCACGCAGTTCCAGAAAGGATTTGCTCTGACTCACCTACAGGAGGACACCTTCTGGCAGCTGCTGCAGTTTACCACTATAGGAGAACCCTGGATGTGCGCAAATATGGATCCTTGCGTCTCCCTTTGCGCCTTGTGGTGTAAATAGAGCAATTTACTGAGTGGATAATGTTGCAGCTGCTGCCTGGGAGGAACTATTGAAGTCTGTCACTTCTTTATAAACAGTCACCATTTCGGCAGCATGTCGCTGACGCTCAGTCTGGCTTTAGGTGTAACTGTTCTCTGGCGCATCAGCGGCGAACCGCTGACTCCTTCAACTGCGACACATTTAAACTCAACATCCACCTCCATCATCCATGAAGGACAGACGAGTAAAAACGCCACGGAAGATGCTTTGGGATCCCCGATGTCACCTTTGATGACTTACCTGCCAACTCTAAAAAACGTCGTTATTTTGATCTGTGTGCTGACAGCTGTCCTCATCACATGCCTGGTGATCAAAGTGATCAGGTGGGTTATAGTGAACAGCTTTATTTAAATACTATTAATGTGGCTGTTTGATATGATGCTCTGATATATAATCTACATTTATTTTTCATGTTAAGCTTGAGATTTAGTTTGTTAAATCAATTTCACTAAATTTATGCAGCTTCTGCAAACATATTTGGTAATTTAGCAGCCATTGGGATTACATTTGTTCTTAAATTATTATTTAAACTTCTCATCATATTAGAATAAAAATTATTCTGAAATATGAAAAAGAAGACAAACTTTGTAATTTAAGTAAACAAAGTAACCTGTTTTAATATTACTATTTGTTAAGGTTCTGTACAGTAAAAAAATAATAAAGCTGTGTGGTTATAAATAAAAGACAATAAAAGTGATCAAACTAAGAAAACAGAACATATTGAATACAATCTGAGTAACTATAGAATAGAAGACGAGGAACTGATGAAATAAACAAAAATTAAATGCTAAAATGCATAAAGAAAGTTCTTAAATCTAAATGCTTAACAGAACAAAAATGTCTGTGAATTTATATAAAATAATAAACACTACAAACAGCTACACAGCTGTATGAAAAGAATGGCAAAGATTAAATCATTTATATGAGTTCAAATTAAAAAAATGGGTCTTTAGTCGCATCATTGTGTTAGAAAAATAACAAAACAAACCTTGATAAGAGTTCTGATATAAATCTCCTTCCAGTTCCACCCCATAAATTCAGTGTCCTTCATTCCTGAAACCTTTCAAAAAAGCCAATTATATGTTACTATGTGAATGAGGGAAATGTTTTGTAGACTTCTTTCAGCCAGCTGACCAGCAGTGCCCAGCTGCAGATCAGGGAGGAGCAACATTGTGTTACTCCAGAAAAATAGAAATGTTTACAAACTGTAACTATTAACTATCTTAGCGGGCCTTAAAAGGCTAAGATTCCTAAAAAATGCTGAAAGACTTATTGGTCTTACGTTGGTAAAATAATCACCTAAAGCCTTTTTAGCTGTTTTTCTATAAGTAAGAAAAATAATAACAATATGCTGTCTGGTTTAGCCTGTAGTGGTTTTAGACCAAATGTACCAGGGGGCCAGGAGGGGGCCAGCGTGTTTTAATGGGGGTACAGAAAAGTATGAAACAAAAAACAGGAAAGGGATTCAAATATTTTAATATAGCTGCATGAAGTGAAATTTTTATTCAATTAGGTTTAATTAAAATTCAGTATCTTATTAGGTCAATATCCATATTTATATATATCCATATTTTTGACTTAATTCAAGATAAAATTACAGTTTTCTATTAAATCTGAATTAAAACTCAAGAAAAACTGATAAATCCGGCCTAAAAAAATTGAGTATTTTTTTTATTTGTTTAAAAAAAAAACATTTAGCAGATGAAAACTGGGATCTTTCTCAATACCACTGAAGCTATCACCTTATTGTTTTTAAATATTTAGTTAAACAGAATTAAACAGAATTTGTAAAGAAAAAAGACTGAGTAACTGTGTTTGTTCCAACGCATATCATCATTAGAATTTCTTTGAGTATTATTTCCTCAGTAGAGGGGCCATAACAGGGGCCAGGACATGATCTACAGGGGCACTGGCCCCCGTAGGCCCCTGTCTAGAACCGCCGGGTTTAGTCACTCAGAGCGACCACAGCACTTCAGTTCTTCTCTTCTGTTTTCTTTCTGTAGATCTGGCCGAAAAATCAGGAAAACACGAAAATACGACATAATTACCACGCCGGCAGAGCGGGTGGAGATGGCTCCTCTGAACGAGGAGAACGACGACGAGGATGACTCCACTCTGTTTGATGTCAAATACAGGTCTGTTTCTTTCAGAGGACCAAACACATGCAGGATGTTGTTGCAGCATGCTGGTTATTAAAAAACTAACCAGAGACAGTCTTCAGCTTTTAACCGCACTGTCTAACTTTGATAAAAGCAAACTGGTTTATTTAATAAAAGAATTGCTGGTGGTGGAACTAAAGGAGTGAAAAGCAGCAGAGCTGTAAAGGCTATGAAGAGAGATTCCTGTGCTCCTCCCAAAAAGTAAACTTAAAGACAACCCCAGATTAAATTTCTACTGTATTAGTTTTGCATGTACTCATTGCCTCTTTCTGCTTGTGTTATCACTGTGGACATAAAGCTGAATTTGTTTGCATGTAAAGCAGCTCGTACTTTGTCTGTAAAACTTTGCAGATAAGATTCCTGACATACTAAAGCAGCTCGACCTCCTCCTGTTTCTACTGTGTAAAAACTTTTAACGACACAAAGGGGGTTCAGAAAATTACTGTAACCCATGAGAACCATAAAAGTCAGCTTTTTGAACATGCAATCAAAGAAACATGTTTCCTTTAAAGCGTTAGCACAGCTACAATGTTGATTTTAGGTTTCACCCTTCCTTATGTCGATTGTTCCTTAACTCTCGCGCACACCAAAGCACTTCCTGAGGGGAAGACATGACGTCCTGTTTACCTGACATTCCTGACTTCCAAATCAGATGGGAACTTACTTCCTTCTACTTTCTTTATGCGTTACGACAAAGCAAACCTCTAAGACTAACAAGCTTTTCTCCTTTTGATTGCAGGTGAATCCAACTTGGGACAACTGTTGTCTTTCTAACAGTTTTTTCCACCTCAACCCAACGTCAGTGATTTTGCCATCAAAGTGTCGTCATGCCAACAACTTCTGCAGCTTGTGTTTTACCTGCGTTGCAAATGAACAGATGTCATTGTCTGCTGTTATGCAAGGATTGTTTCATCATGCTATCTAGATAACTTGCTCAGTGTTTCTTAAATACGACATCATATGGATGGAACTCCTCCATCAAACTTGAAATGGTTTGGAGTTATCCTTTCTAAAAAACTGTCCTCTTCATTATGACCTTAATATTTGGATCTTGTTCAACCCTGAACTGATGTATTATGATCTAAGCTGGAGGTTAAAGGAAACAAATTTATTTCCTGCCAGTGAGGGTTTTAAAAAGATAAGAAGCACAAAATGTTGGTTTCTACAAACCTCAAATTGAACTTGTGAGCTCCACTATTATATTTATGTTTTACCCACTAACCATCTGATTGTGAATATATACTGTTAGTTTTTTGTTTTTTTTTTAATTTCAGATTCAGTTTTGGTTTGCTGCTATCGAGCTGATCTTAGTCAGTGTTTTCAAGCTGGACTTTAGAATACCCTCAGGATGTCTGTTAAAGTGTGTTTGCTGAGAATGTGAATGCTGTCTGCCGTCATTGAAGCTGTTTAACTAGGACTGATCTGCTGGAGCTGCAGGTTCAGTGATTAAAATAACACCATGACAACATGTTGCCAGTGTTACAGAGTCAAAACAATTTAAACACCTCTCAGTTAGGGTCCTGAAATTTGATCTCTCTTGTGTACATAAAAAAAGGTATTTTCTAGAGTCAAGTCCAACTGTTAAGAGCCTTTATAGAAATCTGTCTTTAGCTGTTGCAGCATATTTTCTCACAGAAGAGCCTTTAGTTTTGTTATATCTTATTAATTCACTAAAACAAATAAAAACACATCTTTTTTTTTCTGAAACTACAACAAAAATGTGCACTGAGAATAAAAACACTCCCCTATAGAATTTCGGACGTTAAAAAGCTGCAGCTAATTCTGTTTTGTATACATTCATGTTGGTGAAATCACGAGGTGCACAACGAAGCCAATAAGCTGGCATTGCTAAGCATTATAGCGGACATGTGACTTGACAGATTTGAGAACCTAAGTTCATGTCTATCTGATTACTTATAGTCCAGTTTCCCCACTCATTTAATTAGGAAATGTTTCTTGGATAACCTTAAATAACTTTGTGTCGACTAGCAACTATTTTCACCAATGCCCCATTTTACAAACCAGGGTTAGAGGTCAAATCCTGCGTACCCTGGCTTTTCTGTTGCAGGAAGCTAGGAAGCCATTTGCCTGGGTACAATTTTGACGACTCTATGAAACAACCCAGTTCAGTTTGGACAAACTCTATGCAATATTTCCTACTTTTTAAGCTGAGAACTGCACAAGGAAGTGTTGAAAATGGCGTCACCTTTTCTGGACAAACTTGTTGAGATCCGAGTGCAGATACTATGGAGATATCTATGTCAGGATGAGGTGCTTAGAATATCTCTTGCTTAAAGACATTGGATTTTAGACATTGGCACTTAATAAGATTAATTTACCATTTTCATGTTCTAATTAACATGAACAATATGGAATTAACAGTGTCAAGAAGGCCTGTAATACATTACATGTTTGGGGAATCACTCAGCAATCATTTATGCCTGGTATGGTACACCTTGAGATATTCAATGCATACACAAAAAAATGTGATGCCCACATTGTAAAACCTTCTGAAAAGGAATTTGAAAAGACATTTATTTGCAAACACAACATATAAATATAAATTTTATGGGTAAATATTAAATCTATATTAATAAAATGTATTTCTAGAGCTGATATCTATATATATAACTGTTACATTTATGGGTAAATCTATATCTTGTATCTAAATTTTACAACTAATAAATACAAATCTTAAATCTATATGTTGGATCTAAATACATATCTTAAATGCTGGGAAGATTTACAGATATACTAAAATATAAACACTAACTTTTATGTGCCACTCTATACGTGACAATCGTCTTCTGTCATTTAAAAAAACATAAAATTCTGTTTACTTTTAATTGTTTAATAAAATCATAAAGGACACAACTGGACACCTGATAATTTCTTTAAAAACACTTTGTAATGTGAAGCTTTAATCTAAGTTAAATGGAAAGAGGTGGTTTCGTATCTATTTCATGTTCTGTTTTTACAGTTAAATCTCGTAGATAAACCAACTGAAGCTGCTATCTGCCCTTGTTTTGGTTTTTTTTGTATTTCAGTTTTTCTAAATGTTTTTAGAAAGAGAAATAAACCACTAAACAGATAACATCCTGTGGCAAATTCCTTTTCTGTGTTGAATTCCAGTTTCTTTTCTGGAATTTGGTCCCTAATCAAATTCTGCTTTTGGCCCCACACAGTTCTGTGCCAGCTCTTTAGATCATTGTTTTTCTTTTTTTTACGAAAATTCATATATTTAGTGGACTGAATGTTTTTTGATTTGTTTAGGACCAAAAATGTGTGCAGAATTGAGTGTCTTCTTTAATCTACCTTTCACAAACTGTACATTATTTCTTTAGCACCATTAATGTGTTTGACCATTCCTCATGTTGGGATATTTTTGAATTATATTTTTTGGCTTCATGACCAGAAACCTGCTGACCAGCTAAATTCCTCTCAGGCTTGTACCGTTGCAGTTGTCATGTATTCCCTTTTTTTGTTGTTTTTTTTAAACAAATAAAATTGTGGAAAAATCGTCATCATGTAGAGATGCTTATAATAGACTTTTATTGGTTTGAGTCATCTGCTACACAGAGTTGCTCTTGTTTAAACAAATCAGTTGTGGCTGTGAAGACATTTAAATAAAGCAGTTAAAACAGTTTTAAGTGTTTCTGGAAAACAAGTTCGACCCAGATGTGTCGTGTAAAGCGGTCTTTTCTTCAGTTTCCATGTCTTTACAACACTACTGGAAAACCGCATCTTTTTAAAGCGTGGAATCTTTAAAGGGAAAAGCCTGGAATATTTCCCGGTCTTGGTCTTCTGTGTTACATTCACACCGTCACAACCGAGCTGTTCAAGCATCCATTAGCCATACCACACAGGTTACAAATGCTACACAGGTTAAGACAACAGTAAAAAAATGACAGATTCTGTACATGATGGAAAAAAACAAAAAAACATCAGAACAGAATCCCCTTATCCCTGTCTGAGAGGGAGCGACATGTTAGAAAGCGTTCCAAACTGCTGCAAATTCCAGATTCTGGGTTAATTAACCCTAACATCATTGGCCACCGAATGTTTCTATATTTACACATCTCAGACAGCATCTCACAAATAAGCCTTTCATTGCTCTGGTTTGCTGACGTCTCTGCTGCAACTTTCATGTCTATTCTTAACTTAATTGGGCGGGGTAATAAAGGCCAACATGCAAACCAGAAGTCACATCTTTTCAAAAACTCCCAGAAAACAGCATTTTTACGGAGGAAAATCACATGGCTGCGAGCGCATGAGACTTATCTTGTTGTGCAGCAGAGAAGGTCTTGGAATACTTCAGATTTTTCTGCTTATTCTTGTTAACAGGAGCATTTTCAATTACAGCGAAATAAAAAAAAAAGATGCATATCTAGAATACAAAAACAGCTGCTAAAAACCTTTAACTCCAGCAAAACTTCAAGAAAGTATAAACATTTTAAGCCACAAAGTGTTTTGGCCTTCAAGTCAATACTTAATGACTTAAAACATGTCAGCCCTAGAGTTGAACATTTTTGCACATCTTTTTAGCACTTTAATGTGAACATGGTTTATTTACTACTACCGGTATTTAGAAATATGAGGACATATGCATCAACATGCTGTTTTTCCTTTTAACGGTATTAATCCTGGACTTTGAATCATTTATTTGAAAAGCTCTTTTTGTGGGTTAAACCATTTTATTCAACATAATATAATCAAGTTCTGTTGGATTCCCTTTAATAAAAAAAAGGACATTTAAACAAGTATTTGCTGTTGTCTGAGTGAACAATTTTCATTCTGGTTCAAATATATTTGAAATAAATGTCCCTAGTTAAGTTGCACCATAAAGCTTCTGGCTGATTTTTCAACGCGTTCTTTGCAGGGTTAGTTCTCATTAATATGGTTGGTAATGATGTTTTAAGGCTATAGTTTAAGTATTTTTCAATGAGGGACAAATGGGGACATGCAAAAATCTATTTTGATGTGTGTTTTGGATCATTGCGTTGTTAAAACAGCCAGAAGTTGTCCAATTTTTTTAGTCATTAATTCCAAACTCTCACCCTTAGATAAAAAAAAAAAACATTGATAAGAACAACCTGAGACCCACAAAGGAAAAAGCCTCTTTCCACAGCAAGTTTTACTTCATCATAGCCTAATGGGGCAACATGGACGTCCTTCAGCTCAGATTTAAAACTTTCTTCCAAAGAACAGTCATCAAAAAAACATCTTCCAAGCATGGCAGTGGTAACACTTGCAAATTCAAATAAAAAAAAACATAAATATTCTTAAAAAGGTCCAACAGGAGCTTCTTGATTGGTCATTCCCCACATGGGCTATTATAAAAATTGTTGTATTTTTGTAATCATCACGGTTGCATGATGATAATCACTCCCTAAAAAAGAGCTTTTCAAATAAACTATAAAAATAACCCAAAATCTATAACAATCTGACATTCACAACAATGGCAAGTCTCTGTCACCTTTTGAGCAAAATGTAAGACCTTTTTTTTGGTCCTGAAACTTTATATTTACAAAACTGTACGTGGTCCTTGTAAAACATTGGCTTTTTTGATCATAGGCACCAAAAAGTGTTAGCTACAATTAAATATATTAATACCACTATCAACCTCTATAAATACTGGCTTGTTATTCATTACAAATCCCTAGAGAAGGAAAAAAAAAATCACACCTAGAAAAGCATTTCCCAAAGATCAAAAAGTTTTACCATCTTTAAAGGTTTTTGAACTAAAACTTTTTCAGCTAAAAGGAATTTAAAGTACATTCTGGCGACTCTTTTACTGTAGTAAAGTCGATGATACATTCAGTTTAAAAATGCTAAAATCTCCTTCCTAACAAGAAACAATTTTTTGACCTCCCATTACTCACATTTTCAGAGTGAAACATTTATTGTTGACTGAGCAAACTTTTATATGTGAACAGCTGGCGCACTGTTCCTTTATACCCACCGGAGATGCAAATAACATAGCAAGCTGCAATTCAGTGGCTTGGTTGTCAGGAGAAACCTATCAAATGCATGACTAGAATTTTAAGGTGCTTTATATAAAGTTAGGAAAAGACAAGAAACTTTTTTTTTTCAAAGAGAAGAAGGATAAGATCATTTGATCTCTTTCAGAATAAAACACAGAACATTAATACATTATTCTACCTGGTTGATCAGTGCTTCCACCCTGTGGCCTGCTGAGGAATAACAGGAGCAGAAAGGCCAGCATTGGGATTAGAATTGAGCCCCAGCAGATCCTAAACTGCTTATTGGTCTCTAATCATTCTATTATGTCTCTTGTTCTCATTTAACCTTCTCTCTAAATTGCTTACTTTACAAATAGCACTGAATAAATTCAGCACCGCAGGGTAGAGGTGATAGATTTTTCCTCTATGCACAAGTTCCTGCTGTGCTATAATAAAAACAATTGACTTTATATTGGCATTAAAGTGATCTTTTCTTTGAAACAGCCGGATTACATTCATGCTCAGTTCTTCTCCCAACCTGTAGCCTCAGGTATAAAACACACACCATCTGCTCTCTTTACGGAAGCTCACAAATGAACCCTTCAGAGCTATCGGTTGCCATAGAAATCTCATCAAAGGTAAAAACACATGTAATGAGACAATATAAAAGGCTGTAATTGACAGTGTTTCCATTCAATTCCTCCTTCAAGCTTTATCAGATAAAGCAGTTACAAGATTAACATTTTGTACCAACAGAGAGGACCATAGTTTCAGCCGAGATCTTTCTGTGTTTCTCGGTCCAGTTCGCAGCTTCCAGTGTGGAGCCGGAGCGCCCCCTGCCTGTGCAAAGTGCTCAAGGTCCTGAACTCCAGTGGCATGGTGTGAGGACTCGAGCTGGACGTGTATTCGTACTTCAGAGTGTCGTAGTAGTGGTATTTTACTGGCCTGCCTTGTGGGTCCAGGGGGAATGGCCAGAAGCCGTAGAGGTGGATCTCCTCACAGAAGCGAGTAGCCATCGTATACATGAGTAGTCCAGTGGTGGGACGCTTGATGTGGACGTTGTTAGTGAGCCAGTACCTGTTAACATAAGCATATGGCTGCTGTTAGTTGATTAAATGAAGCAAAGGGGATGATTTCATTCAAACTGTGCACAGCAGCTCTTATCTGCATATGAGAGTTAACAAAAACACCCCAAACTAACATAGTTTTACATTTTGGTTATTTTACGCCCTGCTAAATGTGGATGAAGATCAATGTGAAGATGCAAGGTTAAGCTGTTCCAACTTATGGTCTTTTAGGACAATTTTTCTTTCAACCAGGTTTGTCCTGATGCAATCTAACAGAAACATTGTCCTAATAAAGGTATATTCAAACGATTAAAGACTCTGATGAAACCAAAATATAATAATTGATGTTGTTCAAGCTTCTGCGATTAGATCTTTACAGTCATAAAAATATAAATATATAAAAATAAATATATAAAAATATAGATTTCGGTAGGTCAGGATTTTACAAACACTGAGTAACATATTCATTTGTGGACTTTGGTACACTTTGTTTTAAACTAAGCTACAGAAAACAAGCATCTTTAAAGAACAGTGACCCTTTATCTTATGAATATTGTGTGCATAGTTTACATTTGGGCGGCTAAATATCAAAATGTCACAATAAAACTTTTTGTGTTCCAGATTAAGCCCTTGAGTTTAAACAATAAAAAAAAATGTAAAACTAGACTGTGACTGTTATTGGGCATTATGACAAATTAATACTTTGACAAAAAAAAAAATACGGACTTATAAATCTAAATGTTCACTAAATATAAATGTTAACTAAGTGTTTCCATCTGTACAAGTCTGTTTTTTCAAGAACATCACGATGATGTAGAGGACTCTAAAACCCATGGATCAAATATGATACATGTTGTCAAAAGGTGGTAAAAACAAGTTTTTTTTCTTTTTTACCAATTCGTGACTAACAAGAAGATTTTGTGCCAGACTTCAAAAAGGTTTGTATGCCACTCATCTACAGAGCCCGGGAATAAAGAGCCTGGGAATAGACATAGGGAAATAAAGGGATAAAGCGTGCACAACAAATACACATTCGTTCCCAATTTGTGGCCACAGCGTAGGTACATGTGTGCAGGAAACACATGATCTTCCTACACAGCCTACCTTCTGTTTAATCTTCAATTAAACAAATAAAGAATGTTTTTTTTCCAGATATGACGAATACATATTCAGTAAAACTAGTACATATCAAACAGCTTGCTACAGCTGTTGTGACCTTGAAAATATTACAGGATTTTTTCTTGAATGTTAGTAGATCAATATATTTATTTAGGTGAAATCTTCTGGCAGCAGGTGAAAATGAAGCCTAAAAACGTTCTAATATATAGAACCTGTGGATCACCTCATGTCTTCCTCCTTCAGGCTTCTTTTACAAAGTAAAATGGTTGTTTGCAGCCACGCATCGGATGTTATCATCCCGATAAATGGCCGTTATAAGCGGCAATCAGTCCCATAGAAAGGCTTCAAATTGTGCCAGTAGGCTCATTAGGTTATTATCATCGAGTGAATCGGAATCCTAACCTTATAGTAATTCCTTTCCCCCTGTGAAATTAATTAATCTATTTACGTGTAATCTGAAAATAATTTCAGTGGTTCTTTACTTACTGTAAATATAACTAAATGAAAATGAAATGATCTGCATCGCGCCCATATTAAACAAACCAAAAACAAGTGATCTCATGCCCTGTTAACTAAGTTGTAGAACCCTCTCCCTATAAATATTTAATTCTCTGTGAAAAAGTGCAGATCATTCTTTAAAAAGATCCTCATCAAACAGACAATGCAATGCTTGTTTTTAAAACCTAATGTGTCTAACGGACCTAATGAATTATATATATATATATATATATATATTTTTTTTTTATGCACAAAATTACAACAAAAATAAGATGTAATCAGGAAATGAAACAGCGTCATTGGCTGTAAGGAGAGCGGAGATAGAAGACACTGAGTTTAATGAACAAAACCTGCTACCCACCAGGTTATCTCTGAGGAGAATGTTACGATGACGACTGGAACAGAGGTTGAGGAAACTCTCTCTGTGAACTGGATAAGTCAGAGTTTCCCTGTTTTCAGGTTTAACAACTTTGAGTTTTCGGTAAACCTGCTTCATGAAACAGACCCCTGCTCCGCTTTTAACCCACTAGCCTGAAGGGTGAAACCGGTATAAAATAGAGCATTCATTATATACTGTCCCCCCTTAGGAATAGCCCAGCATTTAAAGGTCTCCAGTACCGGCTAAATTTATACTGACTAAGACCAGTGTGGACCACTTAGCAGGTGATGGTGGAATAAGGAAATAGGGCTAAATTTCAAAATGTATTAAAGACCTTTATTTTTTTTCTGAGCTTTAAAGAGAATAAAGTTTGCAACAAAATGTTGAACAGTCAGTGCAGTGGGCAGAAAGACTGGCTTGTGTTATTTTATCCTAATGCAATACACAGAGTTAATTTGAGCAGCCCAAATGCAAACATTTGCTCACCAAGCAGCAGACTTGCAAAGCTTTTAACATGTCTGAAATAATTTAGAGCAGAGTTTTGCAGAATAAAAGAGCTGAGAGCAGCAACAAAAACTGCTGAGAAGGATTTTTGAAGCCTGAAAGTACTGGAGGATGGATTTTACAGATCCACAGGAACCAGGTCTAAAAAAAGATCAACAGACAAAAGATCGTTAGGGATGAAATTATTATACAATAAGGCCATTTAAAAAAAAGATTGATTTTATTTTCAGTTTTCCTTCAAGCTCCTGTTAACGGGGAAACACTAATCTATGAATAATGTTAGAAGAGTTAAAGCTTTTATTTAGGAAAATAATACATGCACACAAACATAAAGCTCAAAAACAGATTTCAGCTGCAACCTAATAAAACATAAATGTGTGAAACTGACTGTGTGTTGCTTGCTGTGAACTGGACAGACAACATGAGGTCTATTTGACAAAAGCTTTCCTCCTGCATCTTTTTCCAGTTGCCTGGCAATCTCCCTATGACGACAGGACCCAGTGAATCCTGCTGTTTTTTTTTCATCAAGTCAGAACATCTGAGTGTTTACCTAAGTGGAAATAACTGGCTGTGCCTCAGTTTATGACACATCAGACTTGCCACAAGTTTTAGACAGTGAGGTAGAAATGTATTCTTTCCTTTTGACCAACCTGGAATAAATCTTCTAAGACTAGGCTCAAGTAGGAAGGTGCACACTGGAAAAAAATCAAAATCTAGATAAGTGCATTTGTTCTTGGATTGAGGAGGTAAAGGAGACATTTTGTCAAAAGAACAAGACAATTTACACTTAAAATAAGAAAACACAATTGCATTGTCTCATTTTAAGTGCATACTATCTAATTATCTTATTTTAAGGGTAAATTTACTCATTCCGTGGCAAACTATCTCATTCACCTAATCAAATTAAAGGTATATACATTTAATTTAAGAAATGTTTACTCATTTCTAGATCGTTTTTAAAGTGCAAATATAAAAACATTTCCCTTAAATTTGACATAAATTATATTTAACAAACTTCTATGTCTTAAAAGAGATTTTTGAACATTTTTCTGTTAAATCTGTTCATTTGAGAAACCATGTTCAGCCTTTTGAGGAGATTTTTCGAGAATATTAAGAAAATACAGGTGCTGGTCATAAAATTAGAATATCATGAAAAAATAGATTGATTTCAGTAATTCCATTTAAAAAGTGAAACTTGTATATTATATTCATACATTACATACAAACTCATATATTTCAGATGTTTATTTTGTTTAATTTTGATGATTACAAATGACAACAAATGAAAATCTCAAATTCATCATATCAGAAAATTAGAATATTACTGAAGACCAATAAAAACAAAGGATTTATAGAAATGTTGGCCAACTGAAAAGTATGAACATGAAAAGTATGAGCATGTACAGCACTCAGTATTTAGTTGGGCCTCCTTTGGCCTGTATTACTGCAGCAATGCGGCGTGGCATGGAGTCGATCAGTCTGTGGCACTGCTCAGGTGTTATGATAGCCCAGGTTGCTCTAATAGTGGCTTTTAGCTCTTCTGAATTGTTGGGTCTGGTGTATTGCATCTTCTTCTTCACAATACCCCATAGATTTTCTATGGGGTTAAGGTCAGGAGAGTTTGCTGGCCAATTAAGAACAGGGATACCATGGTCCTTCAACCAGGTACTGGTAGCTTTGGCACTGTGTGCAGGTGCCAAGTCCTGTTGGAAAATGAAATCTGCATCTCCAAAAAGTTGGTCAGCTGCAGGAAGCATGAAGTGCTCTAAAACTTCCTGGTATGTGGCTGCGTTGACCCTGGACCTCAGAAAACACAATGGACCAACACCAGCAGATGACATGGCACCCCAAACCATCACTGACTGTGGAAACTTTACACTGGACTTCAAGCAACGTGGATGAAGTGCCTCTCTTCTTTTCCTCCAGACTCTGGGACCTTGATTTCCAAAGGAAATGCAAAATTTACTTTCATCAGAGAACATGACTTTGGACCACTCACCAGCAGTCCAGTCCTGTTTCTCTTTAGCCCAGGCAAGACGCTTCTGACGCTGTCTGTGGTTCAAGAGTGGCTTGACACAAGGAATGCGACAGCAGAAACCCATGTCTTTCATACGTCTGTGTGTGGTGGTTCTTGAAGCACTCACTCCAGCTGCAGTCCACTCTTTGTGAATCTCCCCCACATTTTTGAATGGGTTTTGTTTCACAATCCTCTCCAGGGTGCGGTTATCTCTCTTGCTTGTACACTTTTTTCGACCACATCTTTTCCTTCCCTTCGCCTCTCTATTAATGTGCTTGGACACTGAGCTCTGTGAACAGCCAGCCTCTTTAGCGATGACCTTTTGTGTCTTGCCCTCCTTGTGCAAGCTGTCGATGGTCGTCTTTTGGACAACTGTCAAGTCAGCAGTCTTCCCCATGATTGTGTAGCCTATAGAACTAGACTGAAAGACCATTTAAAGGCTTTTGCAGGTGGTTTGAGTTAATTAGCTGATTAGAGTGTGGCACCAGGGGCCATCAATTTTGAACCTTTTCACAATATTCTAATTTTCTGATATGATGAATTTGAGATTTTCATTTGTTGTCATTTGTAATCATCAAAATTAAACAAAATAAACATCTGAAATATATGAGTTTGTATGTAATGTATGAATATAATATACAAGTTTCACTTTTTAAATGGAATTACTGAAATCAATCTACTTTTTCATGATATTCTAATTTTATGACCAGCACCTGTAAAAGCATTGTAGATTGGAGGGACGTCCAGTTAGCTGCTATCTGTAGGTTGGCCACAAGGTGTCACTGAATCCAACACATTAATGCTAAAAATGTATTAAATACTTTTTGTTTTCATTTTAATTGCTTATTTTTCTTCAAATCTAAAGCATACCATGTAGAGATTCCGTTGTCTACATGTATCAGGATGTCTATGCCCTACAAAAAGGATATTGCAAGCTAGGCTTCTAAACACTTAATTAACCTCACAAAATTGATGTAATCGGTTTGAATGACCTTCAGTAATTTGGATTCTTTGTGTATCATTAAGCGCGCTTCTGTGTATGTGTATAATTTCTAACAGAGACAATTTTTTTAATTGTATACTCTTTATGGGTCCTACAGCCTTGGTAAGTTTTTCACCTGTGCTACAGTCAGGCCAATACTAGAAACTCATTCTCTTCAATGATCCAGGGCCGGGACCCAACCCCAGAAGTACGACCGCCCAACAGAGCGAGCCTGCAGGCAGCTGCCCAAAACTCAAGAGTCCTGTCAACTAGTAGCCACATTCTTGGAGTTAGCCACTCCAGCTGTGATCATAAAGCTGGGTGTCTGCACAGAAATACAGACAAACTACAATAACGATCCAAAAGATGCTGAGTGAAAATGGGCACACAGTCAGGGAGCAAACACTTCGGCCTGAACTGAATGTGTCAAAAATGCAGACCCTCACTCCTGTTACTTCACTTTTTCAGGGGGGTCGGCAGTAAGAACACTGTGATGGCTAGTAGAGGAAGTCTCCCTTGTGGATGCTGCTTTTCAAATTACACCCTTCTGAAAAGGAATAGCAAATAAAATAAAATAAAATATTTGTTAGAAGGTTTATACATTTTTATGTGTCACATAAAGCATAGGTCTTGTACCCTGCTTTTCAACACCCATTGCCCTGCATGTTTTTGGTGCTTCTCTACACAACACTGAAGTTGACTTAAATACACACTGACTTCAATAACTGGGTGACTGAAAGACCTCTCCAGCACTTCTAGCCTGTTGAGTAGAGAATGCAATCATTTGATCTGATTGTTATGTACAGAGACACATCTGAAATCATGTAGGCATTTGTTTCCTGTATTTTAGTTCACTGGAAAGATTAATCCAGGTGTGTGTGACCTCAGTAACTATAAAATCATTGGCCAGACACACCTGGATTAACCAGTCTGTCCAGCAATGAATTACAGGGAACAAAGGAGCCGGCTGAAGTTCAGGAAGTAGTGGGGCTGGGTGTATGGCCCATTAACTGTCACCTTTCAAGAAAGATTAATTTTCACAAGATTTTTGGATTCACAAACTCCCAAAAATGCATCTTGCCAGAAGCCAGCAAATATCTTTGCCTCTATACAGGAATGTTTCAAACCAGATGCAGTGACGTGTATGATGGCAACCCATCAAACAGAGGCGGAAGGCTGAGGCAAAACAAAGATGGATGCACTGGTTTGAACTGGAATTCCCTCCATTTCTTTTCGAACAATAAGCAAATGGACTTGATTTTTGCCTTTGTGGATGGGAAGATGTTTGCACATTACCCCAATAGATTTGGAAAGAATTTGATTTACCAGTTAAATCTACTAGTTGTGGACAAATCAAGTTGCTACTGCTGCTGTGATTGGCTAAAACCCCAACGTGGGAGGCATGAACCCAATCAGCTCGACGAAACTGGGTGTCCCTCCCTTCTGCAAACACTTTCTACAGGAGGCTTTCCAGATGTAAAATTCTAATTGAACTGCATGTACCAATCTGGCTAATGCCAGATTGCATTAACTGGGCAGACAGGAATAAACCAGGAGGAAATCAACATAACATCAGAACAGAACAAAGATCCCAAAGCAATAAATCAGAAACCTAAAATGATAACTCTAAACATCAATCACCCACAGAGCTTAACAGCTATAGTTAGGAAAGCACAAATAGACAAAAAGTGAAAGTGGATTTTTTTGGACAGGGTATTAGAGGAAAGGAGGTTGAATACATATTTATGCTGAGCTTTTTAGATTCAAATCTCTTTAAAAAATGACAAACATGAATTATTTACCTCCCAGCTTAAAATAATGCACTACTATGTTTTAGTCTGTTAAATAAAATTCCAATTAAATATATGGAGGTGCCAGGTTGTAAGTAGGGCTGCAACTAAAGATTATTTTGCAAGTCAATTAATCTGTCCATTATTTTTTTTGATTAAGTGATTATAATCAGATAGCCAAAGGTTCCTTAAAGATGATTTTTACTCATTTAAGCAGGTTTTCCACTTGAGGAGTTCTGGATAGAGCACATCAACAGATGAAATTTTTTTTTTTTCTATCTTAAACACAAAATGTTTATACATATATATATATATATTCTTTTTTTACAATTTTCATATAATTACGGCTCTACGTGGGTTGCTTTGTCAGCTAAAGGCATGCTGTAGAGTCTCTATACTCCAGTTAATGATTAATCAATTACTAAATTAGTTGGCGATTATTTCAATAATTGATTAATCATGATTAATCCCATAAATTTTTCAGCTCTAGTTAACACATGAGAAAATGTAGAAAGAGTTGAGTGAATATATTGTAAGGCTCTGCAAGTTAAGTTATGATGTATGGTACAGAAATAGATCTCAAAAGAAAGTTTGTTCTCCTGCTGACTGACACCCACTATAAGAGAGGAAATCTATTTGTTCAACAATACTGAAAAGGAGCATAATGCATCAAATATCAGATGATGTATTTGAGCCAAAAACAGACAGCAGCAAAAAAAGACTTATGTTATGGGAAACAAATATAACTAGACATGATAACAAAGAGACAGCCCACTCGCTGAGTGTCTCTGATGAGGAGCTGTAAGGCTGCGTTTAAAAATAGCCACCTGGGCCTGCAGATTAGCGTTCGCGTTGGCTGTGCAGCTCACAGGTGTTTCCATGAGGCGCAGCAGCTGTGCCTGCATCTCATCTTACCCTCTGACGGCATGGAGAAGGCGCAGCGATGGGAAGGCTGTGCGCACGTCAACAGTGTGCACCAGGATCAGTCGGAGGGCCCACTCCACGCGCTCCTCCCCACCCTTGGCCATGAAGGCTGGGATCCACAGCACACTGCCGCTGAGGTCACGAAGACGTTGCAGGAAGCGATCCTTCCATTCTTCGCTGATCAGGTCCTGGAAGGCCCGCTGCACCACAGAGGGGTTCATGGTCACCAGATTAGTCCGAAGGCCCACGTCCTGAGAATACTCCTCCACTGGGGCCAGGTTACACCTTAAAAAAAAGGGACACAAAGCTAATTTCTGATTTTGATTTAAACTGATATTACTATCTTATAAATAATGATGAAAAACATTTCATTCAAATTGGTACATCAGGAGTTTGTTCTGCACCCAAAACGAGGGAAACGAAGCAGAAACCAATCAGGATGTTTACCCTTTCTTTCAGGAGAATGCCAGAAATCTAAGCTGGGTTTTATCTTCGCAGGGTAAATGATGTAATTAGTGCTAGTTGGCAGCCACAACGCTAAGGATGGTGTTTATCTCACCTAGTGATTTTCATGGTGAGCAATCATTGCAAATTGTGCTCCAGGTGAAGCTTTCTGGTCCACAAACTGACACAGGGTAGTCATTAGAGCGTGAATGTGTGTCTGTATGTGTGCAGCTACGTCAGATGGAAGTGGAAGTGTTAGACCGCTGGAAGAGAAAGTAATGAAACTGCAGACGAAATCACAAAACAAAGTAAAGCATCAACTCTAGTCCCACATAAAAACAAAGTTTTTTATATCCTTGTTTATGTTATGTTTCTCCAGAATTAAATTTTTTTTCTTTTTTTTTTCTAAAAAGATTAAGTTAATCTTAGAAACTATCACCTTAACTGTTCAAGATAACTACACTGGCGAGATAAACCCATTGGTTGGATTATATGTTGACCACTATTTGTGTTTTTTCTTGTATCAGCATTGGTCTAGACGTTGTTTTTAGTTTAGTTGTATTGTTCTTCATACTGCACATGCAGATTGCATGTGAAAGAAAAAGTTTGTATTTGTTGTACCAGAAATTCCTCTAGAAATTATATGTTTTTTAATAATAATGAGATAATAAACCCTAAGAAATTAGCAACATTATGACTAAGTAAAAAAGGGAGAAGGCCCAGATTTTTCCTCTCTAAGAACACATCTGAGTCAATCTGAACATGCAAAATTAAAGAGAAGCCGTTTCAAGTGCATATTTCCTTATCCTTTAAAAAAGGCTGTAAAAAAGAGGGCTGGCCATTTTAGTTTCAAAAACAGAAAACTGTGTTTTCCCTTATCATATTTTCAGAGAAAAACATAAGGGAATGTTTATTAATATATAAATACAAAATAGAGGGGATTGAAATTACAATTATTAATGTTTATATTACTCTGGGAAGTGATCGGCCCATTTACAAGCTGATGTTTTGATTTCATGGTTTCCAGATTCTTTCTCACTACAGAGAAGATTTAGGCATGGCTGCCTGGTCTCTGTCCTCGATCGATTTCCAATAATTGCAGGTGTCATTTTAGTTGTTTTTGGACGAGTGAGGTAGTTTTTTTTTTACTCACTCAATAAGATAAGCATGTTACTCCCCAAGTTTGTATGATTTCGACAGTAAGATGCTCCTGTGAATTATGTCACGTCTTTCCATTAGGATTGAATAACTGATTGTAGGTGAAATGTTTCAGGTGTAAGTTCTTGGGTTGTTTTTTGTTTTTAGTTTGCTTTCTTCTTTTTTAACCTCTTTTCTTAGGTTTATCTTGTGTGCTTTACATTCAAGAAGAAAACAGAAATGGAAAAAGGACAACTGAATGTTACATGTGTGAAGATGATAACTGTAATGCTATAAAGACCCTTCTTCCAACCAAAAAAAAAAAGGAAATTGAGGAAAAAAAAGCTAAATCTGTCCCCCCAATAAATGGCAGTAGATATCAGATATCGTAGAGATCAGTTTGACTGATCAGCATTGGCCTTTAAAAACCTGCACCAGTTGATTTATAATACAGAAATTAGAGCTGCGGCGAACACAGTCTCCACTGACATAACAAATATGGTGGTTTGAGGAAGTTTTGCAGAGTAAAATGTCCTTATATTCCTTATAAAATAATGTCAAATTTAAATTGAATCATGTTTTATATATTTCCACTCTCTCAGGTGACAGTTTAGCAGTTTCAGTCGTTTGAAACATGTCAACACATGTTAAAGTCTTCATATTTACGTATGAACATTAAAAATCCATTGATTAAAAATATATACACAAAATTGTATTTGCAGTTAAACTTTTAGATAGTCTTGTTCTGCTTGGAGCCTATTTTCAGTGTTCCTGTTTAACATTCATCCAAGCATCTTGTTGAATGCACAATTGGTATGCAAACACTGATGCTGCTCAGTACCTGGTACCTCAAACACCATCAACCTACTTTTTAGAAACCAAGTGAAGGAAGAGAACTATATTTAGCTGAGACGTTATCTTCTCATCTCGGGTGTGAATGCCAAAGCTAATTCTTTAGCTCTTCAAAGTGACACAATTCCTGTCACCTGCCTTTAGCCAATCATTACCACAGTGATTTGTTAAAATCATCATGCAGCTGGAGAGAAACCATGACCCCTTCCACATCAGCCTATATATATATATATATATACAGGCAGCAGAATCAGTTTCTCCATAAACTCAGAATCTGAGGCGCTCAATCTACCTGCTTCATTTATGCACCAACATTAAAGTGGGTGATTTATGAGAAGGAGTTTTTCACATCCTTTGTATGTTCTGTCAGATTCCATCGAACTCAGTACACAATCAGAGACAGTTTTTTGGTATCTGCTATAGCAGCAAGGCCAAAAACAGGTGTATTTTTCATCCAGCAGCAGCAGCAGCTGTAAATGGCGATACATAAATCACACACAGAGTGCTTTCTGTGCTTGCGCTCCAACACAAACACAGAATACGCTGATGGCTTCATTTAAAGCGTCCTGTTTGGAAATCAGAGCAAAAAGCAGGCATGCTACGAGTGCAAGCTGTTGCATTAAGTAATGCTACTTTGTGCACATTTGAGTATTTTGATAATAAAGTCAAGTTACTGAAATTTTAATGACGGAAAGAAGGAAATCCACGCACCTGATTACAAAGTCATGTGAGTCAATTTCTGGTCCGCAGCTGCTGTTAAGCAGGATCCCAGAGTTCCCCACGATGGCACAGCGCTTATGATACTGGTTTTTTAGTGGCGATGCAGTTGGCAAAAGACGATAAAGATTCTCTGAGATGTTTGTGGTGCTTTGGCGATCAAACACATAGTGGATGATGTCTCCCGGTTTCAATGTGCCCTTTAGAATTGAGATGTCTCTCTCCGGGTCAAGGAATCTCAGAATGTTTTTCCTGCAATTAAAAGCAAACGTGCTCTGGTTTTAAAACACTCCTTGCAGCTGACCTTGAATAGGCAGCTATTACAAGGGATGGAAACATACCTGATGAGGTTGGAGAGGGTCTTGTTGAAAGTCCAGCTGCTTGATGGGTGTTTGGCAGCAGTTATGTTGCAGCTTGGAGGATGGGGGTCTACATTTTTGGCAAGTCTTGTTGAAGCAGTCGGGTTGGTGTCTGCTGAAGCCTTTCTGGAATAGAAAGAAAAAAAGAACATTTTAACATTTAAAGAGGTATTTTGTACGTTTCTAAAAAAAAAAATATTTAAAATAGCCTTTTTATTTGACCCTTTACATCTAAAACATGGTTTGATTTGCTCAGTCATTCAGCGCTGATGCATCTATAAGCTTGTATGCTATTTTACTAAATTTGATCAGGGTCAGAAGTTCCCGCGCTGTTTATGTGACATTAAGTGCGTTATTAAATGGCTCCAACCTAGCAAACAATGAAAGCATTTTATTCAAGACGGATTTTGTAAAAGCAACCGATGCCCAGCTCAACGCAATCACCACTGGCAACTCCACATAAGCTGAAAAAAGTTTTAAAAAAAACGTCCAAGAACGAGCGCGAGAAGACGAGTGCTGCAGTTCTGTATTTTGGCCACAGGTGGCAGCATCTTTAGGAAAAATCTGTCAAACCTCTTTAAAGGTCTGTTAAATTAATGTTTTTTTCTTTGTTTATACTATAATGTTGGTCTTACTTCTTATATGTCCCCAAACAGGTCTTCTGTTCAAATCAAATATTGTTCATATATATTTTTTCGAACAGACAGTTGCAAAAAATGCAAAAAAAACTTTGTATCGTCCACCAGGTCCTTACTCTGAATTTTTAGATGAGTTTTCAGAGTTCCTTTCTGATTTGGTATTAAATACTGACAGGGTCATCATAGTGGGAGATTTTAACATCCATGCTGACATTGAAGGCGATAGCTTAAGAGCAGCCTTTAATGCTATCTTAGACACTATTGGCTTTGTTCAAAATGTGAATAGTCCCACGCATTCTCATCTTCATACTTTGGATCTTGTGCTGACATACGGCATAGAATGTGAAGAAATAACAGTATTTCCTCACAACCCTGTCCTCTCTGACCACTTTCTAATAACCTTCAGGATTACTTTAACAGAGTTCTCCTCCCCCAAAAGAAGGTTCAATTTTAGTAGATCTTTATCAGATAGTGCAGTTATAAATTTTAAAGAATCTGCTTCACTTTCTCTCTCCTCTGTGTCACTGAGCAGTGCTGCAGAGTGCAAAAGTTTAGCTTATTCCCCTTCACAGGTTGATGATTTTGTTGATGGGGTTGCTAGTTCTCTGCGTATTGCCTTAGACAACGCAGCTCCTTTGAAAATGAAAACCGTTAAAAATAGAAAGCTTGCTCCTTGGTTTAATGCAGAGCTGCGTACTTTGAAGCAAAATGCTAGGAAACTGGAGAGAAAATATCGCTCCACAGGCCTGCGAGAGTCCTTCCTAGTCTGGAAAAATGGTTTACTGCTGTATAAGAGGACCCTTTGTAAAGCAAGAGCAGCATACTTCTCCTCATTAATAGAGGAGAATAAGAATAATCCTAGATTTCTTTTTAATACAGTTGCCAAACTCACCCAGAGCCATAGCTCTGTTGAACCGTCCATTCCACCTGCTCTTAGCAGCAATGACTTTATGGGATTCTTTATAAATAAGATTGATCTTATTAAAAATAAGATCATAAGCACTCCTCTATCCGCGATTGTACCTGAGGTAGTCATGGAATCTGAACTGGGTTTAGACTGCTTTGATCCAGTTGAACTCTCTGAATTAGCAAAATTATTGTCTTCATCTAAGCCTTCAACTTGTATGTTAGATCCAGTTCCAACCAGGTTATTTAAGGAGGTATTCCCTTTGATCTCCTCCTCCATTTTAGATGTGATTAATCTATCTCTGTTAAAGGGATATGTACCTAAAGCTTTTAAGGTTGCTGTAATTAAACCTCTGCTTAAGAAACCGTCTCTTGACCCAGATGACTTGGTCAATTATAGACCTATATCCTGTTAGGGTTTATTATTTATACATCATGTGCACTGTTAATTTGTCAGATTAGACAGAGCAGAAGGCCTTCCTTCACATTGTGGATATCACGGTGTGTACGGAGGTCATCTAATCAAGACAGCCTTTGTGTCTCTAAGAGCACAAAGGATATGGGCACATCTTGGAGCCGGTCTGATAGGAGAAGCGGCTGTATCTGTAACCCTGAGACAGAGAGGCAACCTGCATGGAGTTCAAGACATGGATGGCGTGTCAGTTTCTGATACGGACAGCTAAGCATCCACGTGATGTGACACAGACTCAGAAGGTATAAGAAGCAGGTGATGACGTTGTTCGGGGCTCAAACTTTGCCGGACGCTTGCGGACGTGATTTTTGAGACCACAGCTGTGCATAGCTCTAAGCATTTTTCTCTGTCTTGTAACGACCTGATCTGGAATAAACTCTGTTACTTTTTTACTCCTGTTTTTATAGTCCTTTTTCATATGGTTTTACCGAGTTTGAGTTAAGAGTAGTAAATAACTTGCTCCCAGGAAAAGAACCGTGTGAGGAGGCCCCGGGGCGTTACAGCCTTTACTTTGAAGGGGACAAATCCTTCTCACTTTAACAAATTGGTGTTTCCGCCCGTGACCTGGAAGCAGGACAACAGAGCCACCGACGGAAAAAGCTCCACAGCCTGCGGCCGAAACAACTGATAAGGTGAGGAGATTCCTTATTACAAAATATCTCCAGTGTTTTTACTGTTAAAACACTTTGGCTGTGTTGTGATTTTCTGAAGTGAGCTGAAGTTTTTTATGCAAAAGAGGACAGAGAAATTGCTCAGAGTGATTTTAGTTTTTGTTTTTGCGGTTTTTGTTTGGTTGTATTAGTTGGGTTTCTTTTTCTTTTACATTGCGAACGTCTACACATAAAAAAAAAAAAAAAAAAAAAAAGAGAGAGAGAGAAAAAAGTCGTGCGTTCTGCTGTGGGTAGCGGTTGAAAGTCCGACTGAAGGCGACTGCGCAAACGTCTTCAAGAATTATACTACTCACTAGGATAAAGTTGGTTGGAAGCCCAACGGTTTCTGCATGCAGAAAGGGACGGTGATTTTATTCCCGGTCTGCCTGCAGACACGAAAGATGCACTTCTGAAAACAGACGCACAGACCCAGTCACATAGCCGGCTAGAGTTTGCCAGTATACCTCCCATAAGGACATTTACGAAAAACTGAGACTGGTGGGGGGGATCCGGGTGAAACGGACCGTTGGGGGCATTTTTTCTCTTTCCTTCTCTTCTCTTATAAAGGAAAGAGAGAAACGATAAAATAATCCCCATAAAACATATTAGGCCGAGGCCCGAATTAGGCAACTTGTTTGTCTAATTCCATAAGTGGTGGAGTGAACTAGGCGGAACTATATCTAAATCTTTTCTTTTCTCTAAATTTCCTTTCTTTTTTCCTTTTCACTGACGGACGCATTTTTTGACGGACACACTTCCTTGACGGACACAGTTGTTGACGGACGCGCTTCCTTAGCAGAAGAGCGGCTCACTGAAGGTTGTAGGGAAAAGGTTTAAAGCCCAGAGGGATCTCACGTAAGACGTCGAGGTCTGATTTTATACACTGTGTGAACGGAAGGTGTGAAAGATGGATGCATGTGGACTAGAAATTGAATCCAGAAACACCTCGTTAAAAGCGAGTCTGGATAAAGGGAGAAATATGATCATGGCGAGTTATCCATTGAAGGATGCAGAACACCACATTAGAAAAATTGATGAATGGGTTGAAAAAATGAGAGAAGATGGAATGTTTGGGGAATTAGAGGGGCCCCCTCCAAACACTTCACAACGTGGTTTTTATTTGGATACACTAAAAATTAGATTGTCACAAGCTCGTGAAAAAATGGCTGGTGCTGGTGTGTTCGGACGAGACAAACACCAGAAGGAAGAAACAAAACTTTTGGATTTGATTAGACAAACCAAGTTCAATTTTAGTAACTATTTTTCTGACAAGGACCCTGAACAGGAACAGAAGGAGCAAAACGGGGCTCAGGGAGGTGAGCAGGCACTCGACACTTCAGAGGGTAAGAAAAACCTTTCATGAGTACATCTAATATTGCAGAAACAGAGCCTATTATGGACCCCAGTCCACACCAAGGTGTCAGAGAAATGTTTCGTAAGGCTGGTGATGCAATGTTTCCATCAAACCCATGTGTGCAGATGCCTGTTATGGAGTTGCGTGAGGGTCAGATAAATTGTGAAATAAGGCCTACAGAGGAAGAATTGGGACAAGAGGTACGAAAAGAGTTTCAGATGCAAGATTTAATAGAGGAGGCGGTAAATAAAGCATTTCAGCATTTCAGTTCGCTATTGTTATGAAAATGTCGATGTTTCTGTGATTTTTGGAGGTGAACCTTGGAAAGGAAAGCTTAAAATATAAAAGGTTGATATATTTACAATTTACGATGTCTTGAAATTAACATTTTAAAGGTAAGAAGATCAATTAGTAAATTTTCAGTGCTGTAAACCCCAACCCCGGCCCAACATTGAGCTCCAGAAGGTGGATCACACAGAGCAGCCGTTCACTTAGAGGCAGGAGAAAAAAAAAAAAAAAAAAAAAAAAGAGAAGACACAGAGAGACTGAGTGCACACAGGGCCGGTCACAGCAAAGGCAGGGCCCAGGAGTCTAGAAGCAGTTTTTACCTTAAAGACATCTACCAATTACTACACTAGAATGGTATTGTAATCTGCATGTAGAGTGACTGATTCAGGAGCTTATATTTGAAAATGTTAGACCACACAAGCTAAGTTTGTCATACTGTAGCAAAGTGAATATAAATTAGACACTGATCACTGAGGATACTCTAAGGTGGATTAAATGGATCTTTACTCAGTCAACTGTTCAGAATAGAGTGGGTTACATCAAATAGATAAATTAGGACGGTTGAGTTCAGTGGATAAAAGAGAGGCAGACAGCAGTAGATGAAATGGAGGGTGAGTTGGATAGAGAAGGGGAGAAATGGGCAAAGAAGATCGAAGTGCGGGTTCAGTAAGAATTAGAGAAAGGAAGTCAATGCAGCAACACTAGGGAGGCCGGGATCCCACTATTTGTTTAGTTATGGAGGTAGTTTTTGAGAAATTTCCAGCAGGAGTGATAGTTATTTTGATTGAGGGCAGCAACTGTCCTTTTATCGTTGATAC